TTAAATTACACACTATTAATTTTAACATATTAATTTTTTTTTGTAAATTCAATAGCAAGTTTTATACCTCTTTTTTTTGAAATTTTCTTTAAAACTTCCTTTGTGAATTATTAAGTATTTTTCCCTTTAATTATTTTAACTAATAAGAAATTAGTAATAGTTTTTATATTTCTATAAAGGAAATTATGAATTTATATTTTATTACTAACCTTTAAAAATTCAATCCTATTAAATAAAGTATAAAATTTTAAATATTTTAATATTACAACTAATAATTTTTTATATATTTCAAAAACTAGTTTTATGGTAATTTTAGAAGTTAAATATATTTTTTTAATAAAATTTTGTTTGAAAATAAAACTTAAAAAATTAATATTTTTAATTTAAATCATCTTCATTAGAGAAATTTATATTTACAATAATCTTTTTAATTGATATATCACTTAAATTCTTTTTATGCATCATTAAAAATTTATTATATTTTTCAACATCTTATTAAATATTTTATTAAATATACTTTAATCAAAATAAGTAAGTTTTTATTAACATCTTAAAGAATTTGAATTTTTATTATCATTAGTTTTATAATTGCTGAAATATGCAAAGGATGCGTAATCTAGTTTATTATTATTATCTAAATTATCTACAGTTATATTATCTATCTCTTTAATAACTAACAATTCACTAATGTCTATTTTTCTATAAATAAAATATTTAAATTCAGTTAAATATTTCAAATATACATAATTTACACAAGTAAAGTAACTTCATTAGTATAAGTTACGACAATAACAACCATCATTTTTAATAAAAACTTGGATTAAAATTTTAATTTTTTCCTAAAAAGGTAAAAATTATTGAAAAAAGTCATATAATTATTAAATTTTAATACACTATTTAATTTTGATTGTAGTCACTAGTATTTTTTGAAAATTCATCATATGAAATCAAATTATAAGATTTTGAAACAGCATTATCAATTAATTTGTTAAATGTTTGAGAGAAATACTGAGGATTGGTTGTAGTATCAAAATTAGGTTGAGATTGGTCATTAATAACAGTTGATGGTTTATTAAAAACAAATGAATTGTCATGAGGATAAAAAGTTTTTTCGTTTTTAATGAATGATTGTTTGTTTGCTTGAGCTGAATTATTTAATAACAGTCCTTGATTAAAAGAATTTTGTTGATAATTAGTTGAGAATTTAAGATATGGACTGTACCTATGATTTGAATTATTACATTTTCTAATAAAACATTTTTCTTTATAAAGATAAGGTGAGTTTTCATTTTGATATTGAAAAGAATTTTCTTGGTTATAGACAGGTTGATTATTAAATTGATTAACAGGATAAGAATTATTTGTAAATGGTACATTATTGCTGTTAGAAGTGTTAATTGTTTGATTATAATAATAAGGATTCTTAATATCTTGATCTTGTCTTAAAACTGGTGAAGTAATTTGATTAGAATAAGGATCGTTATTTTGCAAATCTGAGTTATTATTTAAATTTTCATTAATAGAAAAATTTTTTGAATCAACTGAAGAAAAATCATTTGTATTTATTAATTGACTGTCTTTGTTGTTATCATTAGTAAATGATTTATTACCACCAGTAAAATCATTGATTGGATTAGACGAAAAAGATTCATTTGAATTATCACTACGATCTATTTGATCAACTTGATCGTCATTCTCATTTTTATTCCTATTTAATAATTTATAAATATCAAAATAGAAAATTTTAGAACAAAATTCAATTTTACATTGTAAATCGTTATTAAAAGAGCAATTTCCACATACAAATTTTACAGGTTTTCGACATGAAGATATAAAACCACACTTTTTTGATCCACTTTTATGATGTTTACATGGTTCTGAACACCGTTGTTTTGATAGATTTTTAAAAGTCGTTGATTTTTTTGAGAAACCTTTACTGCTAAATGGGCGCGCCTTATGAGATATTTCTTCATCTTGATAAGGATTATAAAATGTTTCTGAAACATCATTTGATTGTGAACAATGAGATGCATTTACTTTATTATTAAGCACACTAAATGATAAATATTTTACAAGAAATTTTAATTTCATTAAGGGGTTTGAAAATTTATTCTTTTATAATAATTTTTTATAGAAATAATTTCTAATTTATTTTTTAATTTTTAAATGATGTAATCAAAGTATGATTTTAATTTCATTATAAAGATAAAAAATTCAAATTTTATAAGGAATATTTCTATATAAATAAAGAAAAAAATTATATTTAAAATTATATTAAATTCTCAATTATTTTTTAATTTAAATTCATTTTATTTTTTAGAAAATTTTAATTGATTTTTTATAAACAGAATATCTTTTAATTTGTAAAAAAATTTTAATTCCCTCTTTTTTATTTTTCTGATAAAATACGATAAAAAATTAATATATTAAAACTGAAAACATCTGAAAATTATTACTTTTATAATTTAGTAATTATTTAAAGTATTGAAAAGAAATAGAATATATATTAGTAAATGTTTTAAAAAACAAAAACATAATTTTCTTGAAAAAAAATAATAATTAAAGGATGTTTTCATAGTCTTCATTAAAAGTTTAATAATCATATAAGAAGTATGTTGTTGGTATAAAATTAATAATATAAATCTTTAACTTTACATTTTACATTTATTAATATTTTAAATTAATAAATAATAAAAAAAGCTTGAGTATTAAAAAAATACTAATGAATAGAATAATTTATTGAATTTGTCTTAATGTTTAAGAATTTTATTAGATGTTTTGTTTAAATTTAATTAATTTTCTAATTTTAGAAAGAAAATGATTAATATTTTAATAGTTTTTATTTAAAAATATAAACCCTATTGATAGATTTAGAAAAATATACTAAGTAGTATATAATATAAATGATAACAAATTAAAATTAAAAGTCAGAGGATCTTAAAACAGATTAATAAAATAGTTATTACTACTAAATATTTCGAAAATTTTAATATTTTTAATAAAATTATTTATTACTTCATTATTTTAAGTGTTTAAATAAAACACTTTTTCTTCTAGTTTACTTATAACTTTCACATAAATCATAGCAATACATTTATCGTGTTTTGAATTCGAAAGATAAACAGAAAGTTTCCCTTCAAAAATCTTTATCTTCTCATTTATAAACATCTTTATTACATTATGATATTCATATGAATCATTAATTAAACTCAGATTTAATTTTAAATGTTCAAGCTCTTTTAATATGAACATTTTTTCATTAAACAACGATTTTAAAACATCTTTTTCTTCAAAGTTTATACTAATTTTAAATTCAGATAAAATTTCATTAATTTCTTCTTCATTATAATCTGATAATATTTGTTCATTTACACTTGTTTTTATTTCATAAAAATACTCAATTTTTTTAAATAAATAACAATAATAATTATAGATTTTTATAAACAACTCATAGTTTATGTTTTCACTTTTTAGAGATGATTTAATTTTGTTTTTAATAACTTCAGATATAGAAACTTCTTCACAGAATTCAGTTTTGAAAATGTCATAGATTTTTAACTCCATTATTAATTTGTCTATTTTAAATTCAACGAATACATCTTCGAATGCTTCACACATATGCGCATTTACTACGCATTTTTTATCTTTTATTCGTTTAAAAAACATTTTTTTAATAATTTTATCTTCATATTTATCAAATAGAAATTCTATTACTTTTAATATACACTCATCTAATATTTTAAACTTATTTAGATTATCACACCCTAGATTTTTAATCACAACATTCTTTATATTCATTTGTTTGATAATTTTTTTAATAAATTTGTTCATCTTCATATAGTATTTGTTTTCATCTGAATTGATATCTTTTAATTCATCAATTAATTCAGAGAATACATTTTTAATAGCTGACAAATTATTAAATGAAACCATATTTAAAGCAATCTTAAAATACTCGAGTTGAAATCTTTTTAGTTTTACTTCTGTTTTTTCAATTAAACAAAGCATATCTCTTTCATTAAAACATAAATCATTATCACATACCACTATATTAATCTTCATAATATAATAAATTAAAATATGCAATAAATTTACTTTCATTTGGGGTTATAAAATCTTTTTTCTTAAATTTTTAAAATTAAACTTAATATTTATAATAAATCAATTTTAATTTATTATATTTTTTAATAATTAATTAATAATTATGTTTTTTTAAATAAATTGATTTAATTTTTAAACTCACCTAATAAATCATTTCATTGATTTTTTAAAAACATGTTTTTAATGATAAATTTTATATTTATAAATAAACTAGAATAATCTATAAAATATTTG